TAAATTAAGGTTTGCTGTTAAATTCTGGTTCTTTATTTTGATATTAAAATTTTTATTTTGATATTTTAATGATGATTTTCATCAGTTACATATTTGTTACATATGTCTGTTTTTAATTGACAGGAATCTGGATTGGCAGCTGCTGTGCGCCATCATCGATCTGTTTCATGTGCTGTGGTTTACGGCCCTCGGGCAGAAGGAGAAGCAGGTGGATGAAGCAAAGACCTCCTTATCTGCTGAGGAGAAACCTCAGAGCTTTGTGAAATGTCTTCCTCCGCCACTCATCAGTGAATTCTTATGTGTGGCGTCAACTATCACGAGACATCTCGGGTAACGTGTCTCATCCATCATTCAGGGCTGTTAGAAAGTCCACACCTCGGGCACTTTACCCAAAACTTTTATTCACACGTGCAGTGATGAAACCTAAGATGTCCAGTAAATGTTAACTGTCTTTTGATGAAAGATGTCATTGTTTCATCTCCTTCTGACAGGTTGGGTTTGAAGGCTGCTCAGCTCAGCTTGTTTCTACAGACTCTTTGCTCTGTGCTGAAGCATCGTGCGACTGCTCTCCATGTAAGCAAACAGGCAGACCGGCTCACGCTCCACCCACAGCCTCTGTCCTGCACCGAAGCCCTCGCTCTGCTTCACTGCTGGGCCTCCTCGTCCCACAATACGGAACTTCTTACCCAAATACAAGCCTTGTCAGAAAAGCACAAAGTGAAGGAGGTGATGGGTGAGTGCTTTTAACAAATTCTAACATACAGAGAATCTTGTACAGTTGCCACGGTAGTCTTTGATGGACATCCTCCAAGCCCATAATGGAAAAGGAGATACTGATCATTTTTCAACCCTAAACAAGCCTTATTTAAACAGCTAATTAAAAAAACTACCAGTTGAAACTTAACAGCATGAACATAATAAACATATATGAGGTGTTTGAATGAAACTTAACTGGTATAAAAATTTGGTATGACCCACTTTGTACCCATGTTTGCAGTTGTGATTAAGATACTTTGTAATATCTTTACTTTGTGTAGCTTTGATAACTACTTGCTATCTCTAAATAGTAGATACTTCATATTTGATATTTATATGGTTTTATGAATGTGCCTGATTTGCAGCCAAACTCAGAAACTTGGCCTTAGAGTTAAAAGTAAATGCAAAGGAACGGCTGACGAAAGAACAGCAATAAAAATCAGGCTTAACAAGTGTCATGTTTATAAAGAAGTGGAAAATTTAGAGTTTTGTTATTTTGCATTGTCACATTGTATATCGTTTTGTCCATATTCCTCTTTAGGGATGAGAAAGGATAAGGCCCGAGTTAAGAGCTCCCTTTCCCACGTCTATGTGCGAAAAGAAAAGTTGGCAGAAGACACAGAGACCGAAAATGAAGATAAGAGTCTTCTGACAGAGTGTAAACTTTACCTCACCAATATCTTTGTTCATTGGGAGCCTGCTTTCCAACTCTGTGAACCCCAGCCAGCTCTGCCAACAGACAAGCTGGATCCCAGCTGGCTGGCCAGGATTACTGCGCACCTGGTTACAAAGTGGTCCCTGAGGTGCTTGGTGGAGGACGCGTATGATGAAAACAGGGCAAAAGAATTCTTGCTCTGGCTTGAAAAGGCTGTGATCAAACACACAAAAATTGTGGATGTTGTACTGCTTGATCTTGGCTTGAAAGCGGACCTCCTTCGGCTCTACCATCAGGCCTTTGAAGCTCACTGTCACTCCAGCATTTCAGCAAGAGCAGAAACCTTACAGCTTTTCACCAAGATTATGATCTCCTTGCTAGAGATCCAAGGCAACCTTCCAGAGCTGCATCAGGCAGTTGTCTCTGCTTGCATCCCAGAGGCCACACATGATCAGACTAGACTTGGTAAGAGCCTGCTACTTTTTCCAAACCCTCATTCTGAAATTGTAACTGATGAGTTATCTCAGTTAAACAAGTGGGATGTAGTGTTAACATATATAGTATGAAAGGATTTAAAATTGAGATTATTGTCCCGGTCCCTAGATGTCACAATGCTGCTGCTGCTGCAGGAAAGTTACATTAACAAACATAATTACTTACAAAAGATGAACACAAAGATGGAAGCCCTGGCAAAACCATACTGCTTTTACACTTTTGGTAATTACCAGAATCGTTTATTTTGTCATTTTTAATCTGCCAGTATGCAAAATATCTTTAACTGAAATGATATTTTTAGGACTTAAATACAATTATTGTTATTAGCCATGGCTTTTCAAAATCACTGGTTTATAAAAGGGAAGGAACAATAGTAAAGCACATTTTTATATTTTTATTAAGATGATAAATTAGAGTTGCTTACTTGCATTCCAGAAGAGAAAAAATAGTTTTACTGGTTAAATGATTAATTTCTGACTCCTCAGAGAAGCTCAAATGTGGGAATAAAAATGTTTGAAATTCCTCACTTGTCCTCGAAACGGTGAAATGTTGAGAACTCGCTGAAAAGGAAAAGGAAAAAGTTTGCACTTCGTGGTGCTGCATGGTCTTTGAGACAAACAGGGAAATACAGAAATTATTGTCACAGTGAGGTCGAGCATGCCCTGAAGTCAACTGCTGAACTGGTATTCACGAAAAGGCCCAGAGGAAGAAAATGAAGCAGAAAATGAAAACTTACAGAAGTGGATGTGAATCAACTTAAGATTTTAAGTACTAGAGACAGAAGGAAGACCAGTGTTGATCTTCAAGTAGAGATAAATGCTTCTAGATCAGTCTGAGAAGGTCTCCACAATTACCTCCACTATTTATTCAGACAACTGAATAAAGAAGACTTAAAAGGAAGAGTAGCTGCTGGTATAAAGACATTATTGGGACCTGTAAACATCCAGAAACATCTCGGATTTGCCAAGGAGCACAGATGGTAGACTGTAGATAACTGGAAAGAGGTACTTTGGAGAGACGAATCTAAGTTTAAACTCTTGCACAGAAACTGTTTGGCTCATATACCAACAGGACAATGACCCCAAGCATACTTGAAAGCTGTGCAGAAACTATTTGACTAAGAAAAAGGAATTTAGACTGATGGTCTGATCATGTCAAAGTCCAGACTTGAATCCTTCAGAGATAGTTTGCACAAACAAAGAGAACAGCTGCAAACTATTAACTTAGTAACAAAAGAGATTACAATGCCAGCAAGAATGACAACTCCTGTTAGGATCAAAGGATTTTGCCTAATAAATGGCATAATATTTAGTTTTAAACACGTTTTAGAGATTTCTTAAATATGCTTTTCTTTTTTTGACAGGTGGTCTAAGAAATGGTTGAATATTCTATATTTGGTGTTTTTTAACAAAATGAAGTTATGAATTCAACTGTATATTCCCTACATTGATTAGATACTCTGTATTTGCCACATTTGTCAAAGCATGAACTAAAAAAAGAAAGCCTACAGTAATAATATATATTGTCAAACATATTTTAATCGTGATGTAGAATCCATCGTATGTAAAAATATACATTTAAATATAGAAGAAAATAGTAAATACATGTTTACATTTTCTTTTTCAGTATCTTTAAAGTCCCAAAGTGACAATAAGTTTTAATAGGTTGTTTTGTAAATAAGTTTGATGTCTTGTTTTCTTGTTCCCAGAAGCAGGGTTGTCTCTGCTGTCACTGTACATCCATGAGGTGTGGAGTGGAGCCACATCGGCTGATCTCTTCCTGTCTCATGTCAGTTTGGTGACCGGAGCCAAGTGCAAGAAAGTGAAATCATCCCAAAAGAAAGTAGACATAAGAGCCATCTGTAATGACATCATCACCATGAAGAGTTGAATATATAAATTATATGTGAACACTTAATGTGTTCTTTGAGATAGACCAAATGAGACTTCACATACTTCTGTTCAGCTGCATTTATTTCCTGTAAATAGACTTAAAATATTTTGTAAACTTTTGTAAAACCGTCTTGTCATAAAATGTTGATTTACAAATCTGTTGTCAATTTGAACGTTATTTTAAACTCATTAACCTCAAGTTTCCATGCAAGTGTGTGTGTGTGTGTGTGTCTTCAATCACCGTTTTTTATTTTGAAATTTGCTGCTTTATTATTCATTTTCAGTCCAGTCCTTGTACCTGATATTTTTATAGGAATATCTTTTGTTAAGCCACCTAATTCTGACCTATGAATCATTCAAGTATAAAGAAAATTCACTTAATGATAAACTAGTGTTGTCTAAACATAACAAACAACTTGACAAAAGACTAATTTTAAATTGTATCTTTAAAAATAATTGGTACTTCTGGTTTTGTGCATATTAATTGTCCTTATATTGGGAAGTCACAAAGAAGGAAGAGCATGTGGATGGAAGCATAACTTATGTTAAGCTATGCTTTGTTTGCAGGTGGAATTCTTGACATTGTTTCCTTTAGTATAAAACTAAAGACATATGTATCAAAATAAGACGTCTAAGATTTTTGTTCATATTTTTATGTAGAGTACTGTCCCAAAGTCTTGGGCCACCCCTACACTTCTTCATATTTTGCTTGCAAGGAATCAGAAATCTAGTAATTTTTAGTCATGTTCATGCAAAACGGGGGAAAAAAACAACAAATGACGTGATGCAGGACCTGTGAGATGCATTTAAACCTTCAGTTTTGTTCATCTACTGCTCACCAAGACCTTTAGAAATAGTCTCAGTGGAAGGGTTGCTGGCAAGAAGCCATTCTTAAGGAAGGAAAATGAAGTGAAAAGGCTGAGGTGTGACAAGTTACTCAAGAACTGTCCTGAAAATTGGTGGCAAAGGGTCTTATGGTGTGATAAATCCAAATGTAAAATTTTTCATTCAAACCATTGTGGAAATGTACGGAGGAGGTACAACAGTGGGTGTCTATAGCCATTTTTTTTTTTAAGTGGAGGAGGCTCTGTCATGGTTTGGGGCTGCCTTTCAGCCTGTGGTATTTGACATCTTGTCATTAACACAGTAAAGTACTTTTAGAGTTTGATTGGCAACAACTTCATTTTTCAGCATGACAATGATCCCAAAACACTGAAAAAACACAATGAAAGTTGTGGATTGATTTGGACCTCAATGAAGAGCTTTGAATGTTCTTCAAGAAGCTTGGAGAACCATTCCTGAAGAATTCTTAAAGAAACTACAAAAGGTCAGTCATACAAAAGGCGACTTTAAAACTTGTTAGAACTATACAAAGTCTGTTTTGCCTTGTATACCGTATGTCCCTGTATGTTTACATGTTCCCATTTACCTAATAAAATGCAAAGAAATGAGAGGTGGAAAACTTGACTCTTCCAAAGTACTGTATGTACAAATTTTGAGCAGAAAGTTTTGGGACTAAAATGAAAATGGAAGGAGCAAAGCTGCCTAATATACTCTCGCTGTCCTTGCTCTTATGTACACACACACACACACACACACTGTGGTTTAAAGCTCAAAGCAGCTGTTACGTAACATTTTTTTTAATGTTTAAGGAAGCCTTGAACTTTGCAGTGATCTTGCGAGATGGAATGATGGTCACTTCTTCTCATTTTAAATTTCATTAGTGCTGTTGCACCTTATCATCACATTTTGAATTTGAGTCCATCGCCTCCGTTTTTCACTATGTTCTCATTAAGATCGAGTCTCTAGTGAATTAGTTGACGTGTGATTCCTGCAAAGACAACAAGACAATTTTAAGTATGAGCAGCCCTATAGGGATTACGCATATTGAAACACATATACATGTTTCATTTAGAAAACGCACTTTAAAGGCAATTGACCTTTACACTTACTTTGGTAGGTTTCCACTGCGAGACAGTAGATTCAAAGTGAGAAAAAGACATGCCACAAAGGTAATGACGACTACCCAAAATATTATAACAACGGAATCTGGAAGGAGAATAGAAAATGTGTTATCTTCGTGTAATAAAAGCAAGACAGAACAATTATGTAAAGCGTTAAAATTAACAACTTACATTTATAGTACTTTAACTTTCTCTCATCCACAATCACGGGATCCAGGTAATCATAATAGTATTCATATATAATCCCGCTGGTAGAGTTCTCCATTCCAGCCATCTGAGAGGGAACGTGTTACTGTCTCATTCACAAAAATCAGCTAAAGAAAATAATAGCCATTTACTGCTATTTCTACCATGAATCGTCTTAGAGGAATATCCGTGAAATCCTCACCCGCGTGTGTGTTTAGCGATTCAAGTCCAGCTGTTTCTTCTGTCAGCACTACTCGTTTTGTATTTTAAAGGCTGGATGCAGTTTGCAGGTTTGGTCACAAGGGGGCAACATAAAGCCATTCAAGAAATGCGGCGTTCTGGTTCTGCGCTTGATGTTTTTAAGTTCCACGCACTTTATATTTTACCTATAAATGTAATTGCTATAAGACACAGGTGTCGAACTCCAGGCCTCAAGGGCCGGTGTCCTGCAAGTTTTAGATGTTTCCTTGATGCAACACAGCTGATTTAAATGTCTAAATTACCTCCTCAACATGTCTTGAAGTTCTCCAGAGGCCTGGTAATGAACTAATCATTTGATTCAGGTGTGCTGACCCAGGGTGAGATCTAAAACCTGCAGGACACCGGCCCTCGAGGACTGGAGTTTGACACCCCTGCTATAAGAGATTTTGTGGATTTTATTCTTCAGACAACTTTTGATATAATAGAAGAACTTCCTGTTCCATCGGGTGGGTGGGGTGTGGGGCGCCAGCAGGAATTAATGGGATCTCATGGAGCTCTAACCCAGCAATTGAATTTTCATTGTGTTTTCAGATACTATACACTTAGAATTTTAGATTCGAATTAGTTTTTGTTTTTTTAGGGAGGTTACAGCATCATGAGTCACTTTACGATATCCGACATTTTAGTTTCAGGCATGAAGCTAGCTGCATTGAATTTGTAACAGCAGCCTCCTCTTTAAACAAACCAGTCCCTTCTTATCAAATCGTGCACTTTTCTGTCGTTGGTTTAATTCAATTCTAACGTCTCGTTATCGAATAGGTGCCATCAAGGAAAGGCATATAGTCGTAAATCCAGGACTCGTCATAAGACTGTAAGAATTAGCAAGACGCTTGATGAGATAAATCGAAAAGCAAAAGAAAATTCCCTAAAAGAAAAAAATAGCTCCACGGTGTCTTTTATTTCACACAACATTGATACGGTATTAACCAAAATAAAATGTGTCTCGCTCATTTCAGCCGCTTAACTCCATGTCATCAGCGCCGCCTGCTGTGCTTCGTGCTGAATTACAAACAACTTCTTGATTGGCTCTGGTCTTTATAAAATCATTGGAAATTTTTAAAAAAAAATCAGTATACTAGATGCTATTTTTAACAGTGTGCTAATAAGTACATATAATTCCATCTTTATTTTAGTTATGTTAAAAAATAGGAGCAGACATGCTGAAATATGTAGAGTACACAGGGACTTAAAGAACCCAGCTCTAATAAGTCGTGCTGAACTTATGACACTGGAAATTGTTTGATTGTGGACAGTTGTTCTCGTCTATAAAGGGCACTAGGTATTCACAGTGACAGTTTTGGGCACATGGTCGTCATTCCAAAGGTTTGCCCATAAACTGCGACTTCTCTAAAGCCGGTGCATTACCCCACAAGACAGGTTGTGGGAATTTCACCTGTTACAGTTGTCACTTCTCATCGTCTACTGTGGATTAAGTCATAAATTCCCTATGAACAGTTTAACTCAGAACAATACTCATTTTGCCTTTGCATGATAGGTCCGAAAATCAGTTAATTTTAGTAAAATGCTTCCAAAAGTCATCCAAACGATTTTTGTAGAAAAATACGGAGACGCCAAATTTTCCGATAACTGTGAAGGCAGCATTACCTCGTGACATCACAGGCGCTGTCTACAGGGTGGAACCGTTAAGCTAGCAGCAGTTTCTAGCTTAGCTGAGCTTTGGTTAGTCCACGTCGAAAGGAAAATAAAGCTTCCCGATGCTCGTGGTTGTTATGTTATAGTTAGGTGAAGCTGCGCGCGGTTATGGTCAAGATAAAGTAATCAAATATAAAGACTAGTCAGTTGGCTTTCAACATTAACCAGTCGTTATGGATGCAGTGAACGCCTTCAATATGGAGGTAAAGTTTTTTCATGTTTTACTTAAGTCCCACGAGCCAAAAGCAAATATAATGCCAGAGCTAACGAATGCCAGTTATTTTCTTATTTGACACTTAATATTAGTTGTTATTATTTATTTACCATGGGGACAATGCCAGCTTAGTGTCCAGTTGCAACGTAAACATTGTATCTGCTAAGCATTAGCTTAACTGTAGTTTGATGCTAGTACGTTAATCCTAGACGGCCTTTGAGTAATCATGTAGCTTAATTATTAACTTGGCCCTACTCTACTTTATTTATAAAGATGCACAGGCCATCAATGATTGTTGTAGGGACATACGCCACTTTTGTGGAATTAGTGAAATACAGCTGTCGTTAACACATTAGCCTAAAGGTGTTCGGATATTTACTTTTGCTTCCAACGAGTTAAGCAAGCAAAGCTTTTCATAAAGGCTACTGGATTATTTAATCTTTTGCATAGTTGAAGTGTGTTTATTATCGGCTCACTTAAGTAACACTTTTGAGTTGTGTATTCTTTAAATTTGTTGCAGCTTTAGAAAACTCAAGTGGCCGTTTATGTGATGTCTTGCATATTGTTGTGTCAGCGTTGGTTTGTTGGTGAAAATTAAGTATTATACTAAATTAAGTACTATACTAAAGCATAGATATGATTAAAGAGTATTAATAAATAAAATTTAACAATACACAGTCATGTTGGAGTAAACTTTCTGTACAAAAAAGATACTGAACTCTTTACATTAATGTAAAAACTGTAAAAAAAGATCAGCACAATTTCATAGATGGGAATAATTTTGTAAAATTTTAAAAAGCTACAGACCTGAAGCCAATGTTAGAGAAAGTCTTGTGCTTTCTGTCCAGTAAGTGGTGCAGAGGTTAGTCTACAGAGGATTTAAATATGATCAATTGTTTGACTGCTGTGTCAGCACTAACATCACTATCTGCTCAGAAAGTCCTACTGCCAGATTCACTCACACTATGGACAGGGAAGTGTGAGTCTGGCATTGTCTCTGTGAAAAAGTTATATTACAGTCATTGTTGTCTCTGGGTTTTAATCACCTCATCAAGCTTGTCTTTATTTTATCGTCCGTGGACCTCACATTTACCATGATGATAGCTTAAGCAGACCTGATATTTCATTCTCTGAGCTCTCCACTTAGATCAAATCCTGTAACCTTGCTGTCACCATGAGGACGACAGTCTTCACTTTGCTCAGTAGAATAACTAGTGTGATCAGCTGGTAAAGATTCTCCATTGTTAACAGTACACTGAGAAGAAACCCCAAAAGTAGATTTGCAAAACTTGACTTGACTAGACTTCCATAAAAGGAAAATCAACTCTATCACTTTATATCCAAATAAATTAAAAAAGCAAATATAAGAGAACTGCTGTAACAAGCTGCCACTTATCACAGCACCAGAGGGGAAAATATAAATTTTCAAACTTTTATTAAAGACTCTTTTTTTTTTTTTAGTTTTTTTTTAGTTTTGAGGTTTTCCTGTTACTGAATGGTCTATTTGTTGCTACATTTGATTATTATTTTGTCCTTTTGTTTTATAAAGGACACCACATATCTAGTATAATTGAATGCCAGTTTCTCTTTTAAAATGAACTAATTTTACATTTTTCCTCTTTCATTACTCTTAGTTGTTCTCCATGATTGACATGAAGCCGCCAATATCCCGTGCTAAAATGATGTCTGTAACAAAATCAGCCATCAAGGCTATCAAGGTAAAGTGAATTTTATTGTTGGATACCATCATGCATAATGAGCAAATATTTAGAAAAAAACCCAAGGTTGTGGTTCTTACACAAAGAAACTTAACAAACAAACACTGTAGGTTTATGTGTATTAACTTTCTGATTTTTATTTTTTTATATTTTTTTTTTAAACAAAATGCTTCAGTTGTGTGTGGTAATTAATGATAATCATAATATCTTAAGTGTAGAGACTTTATATACACACATGTATATCTCTATTAGTCTATATCTGTGCCTGTGTGTGTGAATAATAATAGTAATAATGATATAAATAAAAACATCAGGCAATCACTATGAGCAAACTGTTTTGTCATAGGTCTGGGGAGATGAATATTATTATTCCACATATATTTTAAGCATATTGAGTTTTCTACTTTACCCTATCAGAAGTTTTGCTCTTGGCAAAATGAGGTGTCACTTGTTTTGGGGGTTTTTTTGTTTTTGTTTTTGAAGCTTCAGCTGAGAAGAGTAGTTGAAGTGTTTGATGACTCTTTCGACTGATTACAGAAATCATGCAGTAAATGAGAATTTTTTTTTTAGCACAAAACAGCATGTTTTCATTTGTCTTATGCTACCATTTTGATCCTGTGACTGAAATATTTTTTTTTGTCTCATTAGCTTTACAAACACGTTGTCCAGATTGTTGAAAAGTTCATTAAGAAGGTATGTATTATTCAGTCGTTTAATCTTTACTATGTTGCCAAGTTTAGATAAAAGTGCATTTTACAGTTGCGGACTGTAATTTCTTTTGTTTCTTTTCAGTGCAAGCCTGAGTTAAAAGTTCCTGGTTTATATGTGGTTGATTCCATTGTTCGCCAATCACGCCATCAGTTTGGTGTTGACAAGGATGTATTTGGTCCAAGATTCTTGAAAAACTTCACAGAGACCTTTCAAAACCTTTATCGCTGCCCAGAGGATGACAAGGTACTTTGTGTTTCAAGTAATTTATACAAGTACAATAAATGCTTTAAAAAGAATCTCATAGATTTTTCTCTCCCCCCCCCCTTTTTCAGACTAAAATTGTCCGTGTCCTTAACCTGTGGCAGAAGAATGGTGTGTTTGACATGGACATCCTTCAGCCTCTAATGGATATGGCAAATGGTGTTATTGCACCTCGCCCTGCTGTGGAAGGTAGTAGAACTGGTAGTGGAACTTTGGGCAGTGTTTTTAACTATCTGAGAGTAAATTATGTTGTAATTAGGGAGGGGGGAATTTCTAAGAATTTAGCGATTCCAGTTCAGTTATCGATATCACTTATCAATTCAATTACTTATTGATTCTCCTTGGGTGCTAATTCTCTCTGTTTTGAGGGTCACCACTATCGCTAAGCAACATTTTAATTAATTGCATGCTTTGTCAAACAACTGTGCACGTTGGAGTCATTTCCCTGCTTTGTGGTGATCATTTTTGGGGTCATTACTCAAAAAAGTAAGTCTGGCTACTGGCCCGAGGTCACTCTTTGTTCTTGGCTAGCTTAATGTTAGCATGTTGTCTGTCTAGGTGGTTTCAGTTGTTTCTGTCTTGTATGCAGTTTACTGTTGAATTTTTGTCTTTTTGAGCAATAAAAATAAAG